CCTAACCCTGGGGGGGAACCCCTAACCCTAACCCTAACCCTAACCGGGGGGCCGGGGGCCTAACCCTAACCCTAACCCTAACCCTAACCCTAACCCTAACCCTAACCGGAACCCTAACCCTAACCCTAACCCTAACCCTAACCCTAACCCTAACCCTTTTTCTAACCCTAACCCTAACCCTAACCCTAACCCTAACCCTAACCCTAACCCTAACCCTAACCCTAACCCTATTCCTAACCCTAACCCTAACCCTAACCCTAACCCTAACCCTAAGGGGCCCTAACCCTAACCCTAACCCTAACCCTAACCCTAACCCTAACCCTAACCCTAACCCTAACCCTAACCCTAACCCTAACCCTAACCCTAACCCTAACCCTAACCCTAACCCTAACCCTAACCCTAACCCTAACCCTAACCCTAACCCTAACCCTAACCCTAACCCTAACCCTAACCCTAACCCTAACCCTAACCCTAACCCTAACCCTAACCCTAACCCTAACCCTAACCCTAACCCTAACCCTATTTCCTAACCCTAACCCTAACCCTAACCCTAACCCTAACCCTAACCCTAACCCTAACCCTAACCCTAACCCTAACCCTAACCCTAACCCTAACCCTAACCCTAACCCTAACCCTAACCCTAACCCTAACCCTAACCCTAACCCTAACCCTAACCCTAACCCTAACCCTAACCCTAACCCTAACCCTAACCCTAACCCTAACCCTAACCCTAACCCTAACCCTAACCCTAACCCTAACCCTAACCCTAACCCTAACCCTAACCCTAACCCTAACCCTAACCCTAACCCTAACCCTAACCCTAACCCTAACCCTAACCCTAACCCTAACCCTAACCCTAACCCTAGCTGATGCCTCGTCAACCCTAGCTGATGCCTCGTCAACCCTAGCTGATGCCTCATCAAGCCTAGCCCCACTCCATTTCTCCCCACCCACCACCACTCACTCCACTTGCCACTCACTGCCCTCTTGCCACTCCTACCTATCCCATCCACCCCACCATACTCTTCCTCCACCCCACCACGCGCATGGCTGTGCATGGGCGTGAATTGATTGTTTGATGCTGATTCACTATCGACATCCTTCCATTGACACTTGCCCGTGTCACTCGTTCGGGTTCGCATGTGCGGGTTGTTGTTTGACATGAATGTCATTCAACATTTTTATGATTCGCCACTCGTCACTCGTTCGATTGTTTGACATTCAATTGATTGTTGTTGATCATTGTCAATTGATCATTCGATTCTTTCTGCTTCTTTTGTTGTTGGCTATCCATGTTCCTTGTTCTTTGCCGTTTATTGTCTCACATGCTTGTTGTTGCTATTGTCTGGCTTCATGTTCTGCTTCGGTTGCTTTTGCCTGTGATGGTTGACCATAATCGACATGCATCCCCATTTATCATTCCTTTCGCCCTTGTTGTTGCTTTGTATTATTATTCGTCATGCTTCATTTGTTCTTGACTCCCCTGGTTTCATCGTCCTTGACTTCCACATCCATGATCGACCGTTGCTCACTACACCATCGATTCTCATCTTTGTTGTCGTCAGTCATGGTCAATAGTTGTGCATGCAATGTATTCTGTGTTGACTCTGTTGTATCTTGGTAGTGGTTGATCTGCAGATCTGATCGATCAACCGCGCCCTACCTCATCGACCTGAACGTCACCCGAGTTCATCCCATTGCCTGCTAGCTTTGTCCAGTCCCTGTTGGCTCACTCATATGTGTGCTGTGCAAGCTATGTATGATCTTTGGTTGTTGTTGTTGACGTCATTGCCTCGTTTGATGCTGGTTCCAGCTTTTCTTCAATTAATTCAATGTTGAACTCAATTTATGTCCGCCGCCTTCCCTCTGCCGGCCAAGTACCCGCCGCCCCTATCGCCCACACCCCACACACACCCATCAGCCGTATCATACCCACCTTCATCAATGCTCAAGCCCAATCGCCATACCTACTACCATTTCGCCCGTCACGACCCCACGTCACGACCCTCCTCATCCCCCCTATCATACTCATTACCACCCGTCACCACAAACGACCACCCCACCCCTACCCCACCACCATCACTATCATCCTAGCCACAAGCACCACCGCCTTGCCTTGGCCATGCCTACCATCCCATCGCGCACTCTGCTTCCTCCTCTTCTTCCTCCTCCTCCTCTCCTCGCTCCAGCTCACCCTCATCCTCATTCCCGACCTCGACACCGCCATCCGTCAACCATCACATGCTATACTGCCCAATCTCCAACCAACAGCAATCTCGAGCCACCCCGCTCCGACCCAGCTCCCTCTGTTGTCCTTGCCTCGACGGCCACCAGCCGCCAGCCGCCGCCCGCTCGCCCGAACAGCCGACCCTCATCACCACCTAGCTCCCACCCACCACCAGCTACACAACCCGCGACCACGCCCAAGGTTTTTACTTGCCATGCACTAGCACCAGTATCAGTATCGCTGTCATTGACACCCATCTTCCTCGGCTCATTTCCGCGTCGACTTGTTTGCCTAGGTGGTTGAGCACGTCCTCGACCGCCCGACCCCGCACACGCCCCCCATCACACACATTGCAAGATATGGCCAATCGGATTTCACTACTACTCTACTACATACACACATACCCCCTTGCACAGTCTCCAATCCACAGCTGCTGTATTCCGGAATCCGAGTTCCGCCGGCTCAGGCCCAAGTTGTTGGCCCTGTGTCCCTTCGAAGGTGCTGACCCCTCCTCCCCGGGCCCATATCCGACCCCCACTCCCCACCATCCGCACCCACAACCACCACAACCACACGACACATACGCACTACACCTGAAACATAGCCACCCACTTCCTGCCCGCCGATATACACATCAGCCGACGCCAACCCGTCAACAGCATCACTGCCGACCGCCGGCTGCTCGCTGCTGACCGCCGCCCGCCGCCGACCGACCACCGCCGGCACCACCAAGAGCAAGCTAGCCATCGACAGGACATTGAAAACAATACAAAGAGATAGCCACATTATTGGCAATGCCTATCAGGCTGCCCTCCGACCCATTTCTCCCCTCCTTTTCCCGGCCTTGCCCATCACAGCCCCCGCCGGCCTGCTCATCACCAGCCGCCCCTGCCGCCGACCACCGAGCCAGACGACGAGACCACCGGGCTGGCTAAGACAAGGAATAACAAGAGAGGGCCAGTGCAATCGATAGGCAATGCAGTGGTGGACTAGAGTGCAGTGGTCTGCCTCGTCTTCTATTCCCAAGCCCTCGTGCCCATCGACGTCCATCTCAATCCAATCCATCCGCCCTTCTCCCCCTCGCCGCCCAAGTTCCCGGCTCCCTCGTCGCCCACATCAATCCTTAACCCCAATCACCATTCCCAGCCCCTCCTCCGCCCGTCCCGACACCCACGCCACGACCACCCTTATCCCCCCTACCATGCTCATCACGCCTCATTACTACCAACCACCACCCTCAACTTCTACTCCAGTTTTATCACTTTCATTCCAGCCACCCTCCTCACCCACATGCTATGGCCATACTCACCACCATACCATCGCATACCGCCTGCTCTGTCTCGTCCTCCTCCTCGTCTTCTCGCTTCAACTCACCCCATCCCCATCCCCTACCTCGACACCCACACACTCTTCAACCATCACATGCCAGACTCTTCATCTTTCAATCATCACCAATCTCAAGTCTCCCACCCCCGACTCCACCCTCCCTGCTGACCCCGCCTCATCGCTTCTCTTCGGGCCCATCTCCGACCCCCACTCCCGACCATTCCCACCCACAACCACCACACCCATATCACACATACTCTTCATTCCGGAAACATAGCCACCCACTTCACTTGTGCCGAATAGCAGCCTTCAGTCGAGGCGGCGACGGTAAGCGATTCCACGCTAACCCTACGAGAACAAGTGATGACGAGGAGATGATGATGGAGTACGGGGATGGAGGATGACAATGGCTTTACACGTGAAAGCGGAAGAACTTCCATTCATCCTGGAACTGGTGCGCGCGATAGACATGCGAGATGAGTCCAAACGCAAACATGTGCTTGGCGTGGATGACAGCAGTCGAGCGCGACGCTGCAAACCCGCTGTCGACAAACCAGCTCACGAGCTCGCTTGCCACAAACACGCCCTGGTACTTTCGGAACCACCACCGCCGTGTGCGCACAAGGTCTGTGCGAAGTCGGGGAATGATGTGCAAGTATGCGAGCACGTCCCACCGGCCCTGCATCAAAGTGTTGCTGTCCCTCGTATCGTCAACGTCTTGCCGGCCGACATCGGCGAGGCGGTGGACCTGCAACGCTGCAAAGCCGTGGATCAAGCCGCCAACTCCGGGTGAAGGTGTCGTCTCGGTCACTCCGTCGGCCAGCTCTTGTCCGCGCGCAAGCACATCTGCCGCCACAAGCGTCGCTGCAATCAGCGCAGCCTGCCTGACTTGACTACACGCCCGGACACCAGCATGTGGATTGCTCGTGGTCGCCACCGCCTGGATGCGGCTCGAGATCGCTCGCGACCGAACAACAGCAAGCTCGAGCGAGCCATACCCGTACAGCGCCCTCATCATAGCTGTCCGACACACCTCATGTGTGTGCGGGAGTTTGTACGGCGTAGAGGTCGTCGCCTCCATTGCCGGGCCCCGCATCAGCAGCACCCGCTGCATCTCAAACACCGCCACGAGCATCAGTGCGTCTGCTATTGTCGCGCGCGACTTGGTCTCGGAAAGAACGGTGGCGAAAGCGATGTCAAAAGCCTTGTCGTCGTGGCGCAGCACTGCAATCTCCATGAGCGTCACCAGCGCCTTGTCCACTGCTGACGGGATGCGACAGTGCGCAAAGACCTCGTGACAGAGTTCTGCAGCCATCTCAGTCTCACCGCGCCCGAGATGCACGCCCATAAGCGCGTTCTCAATGTGTGCGGTCCATGGTGCGTTGCCAAGCCACTGTGCTAGCCGACGCGCCTGCTGCAGCCGCGAGCCTGCCACGCGCATTCGCCCGAGGTCTCGCTCAGCAAACCCGAGGCCAGCCAGTGCATACGACTCTTGGACAGGGTTTTGCAGCATGTGCGCAACCTGGAACGCACGCTTGTGCCAGGTCCGTGCATGCGCGTAGTCAGCAATCGACCAGAGGATCCATCCGCCCACGTCGAGCAGCTCCTGGATGGCTGGCGTGGCTGAGCGCGCAAGCTTGTGCTTCCGCGCGTGCCGTGCGCCGCTGACGACCGCGTCGCGCGCCGCCCGTATATCGCCGCGCACCAGCTCGACCTTTGCCCGCAGCGCATCGACGGCAATTTGCGACTCCGGATCAGTTATGTACTGCTCCAGGATAACAAGCATGTCGTCGACCTGCTCCGACTCGTGCGAGGCGTCAAAGAGCGTGTCAGACGGGTCACGGAGGAGCTCAGTCATGTAAGCCCTCAGTGCTTCACGTCGGTCCTCAAAGCTCACGTGAACGTCCACCGACTCGAGAAAGTACCGTTCAGGGAACGAGCTCACCGACGGGGAGTACTTGGCGGGCATGCTCGCCAGCTTGTGATCAAGATGCGGCGTGAGGATTCGGGGCACCTCGGCGCTGCCGGCCCCACGCTCGATCTCGTGCGTAGCCGCGTCCGAGGCCAGGAGCCACTCACGCCGCTGTGCCATTTCAGCTGGAAGTGGCGTGTCGCCGGCCGCGGTGTCGTTGCGGTTGATGAGAAAGAGTAGCTCGCGCGTGGCGTCGAGCGTCCGAGTTCCTTCGTGCCTGATGAGCTCAAAGTGCGCCTTGATAAGGAGCTGTACGTCCCATGCCCGCACCGCGTACGGCATATACGCCAGCGGATGGCTGTGCAGGACATGGGTCGATTCGTCCAGCGCGTGCCCAACCTGATACGCAAAATGCTGGTAGGCGTCAGGCACCAGCGTCGCAAGCAGAGCGTTGTGTTCCGACGCATGGCAAAACGAGAAACGCGCACTTGCGTCCACACCAGCCACCACCACAATGCCAACCTCGATCGCGAGGCCAAACGCATCGCCGAAGCAGACGGACTCAATAGCATACACCCGTGCACATGCTGCTGCATCCGCGAGCATGACCGGCTCCGCCTGCATTCGCTCGTACGCGAGCTCGAGCACTGTCACGTACTGGCTGCGACCAACAACGGCCGCCAGCTCGAGCAGGCACATCACGGCATCGATTTTGTGGCCATGGCCAAGATCGTCGACCTTGCACTCGACGACAGACACAACCACCTGGCGTAGTGTCGAAACACAATAGTCTCCCGGGATGTGATGCAGAGATCGATGCCGGAGCAGCTGCTGGACCGACTCGGTGCCGGGGGCTATCTGGCTGACGAGCGAAACCGACGAAACCATGCTACTGTCAAAGCCAAGCGACGCCTCCGACCTGATCGTTGACAGTTCAGGTGCAATCCGCCGTGATGCTCGACGTCCGTGTCTGCGCGAGGCTGCCTGGTCTTTCCACGACAGCCTGCGTCGCTTCTGCGACAGGGACATCTGCAACCGTTTCGTCGATGTCGGCTCCCCGGGACTCTCGGCCACATCTGTGTCAACAGTGGCGACACCGTCGGGTCTGGGCGGAGCCTCGGCGATGATATCGAGCGTGCCAAACGAGTTGTCACCGTCATCACTCTCTCCCGAGTCGCTACTAAGCATCGAGCGGATGCCTGTGCTGCGGCTATGCGCGACCTGGGCGTCGTGGGTGTAGCCCATGTCTTCCAGCAGTCGTGTCGACGACGCCACAGAGTGTCCGCCGTCCGACTCGTGCCACACGCTGGGCTCGGCGCCCATAATCTGCCACTCACTCGGTCGGACCAACATTCCGGTACAGCAGATGGTGCAGACCGGGACCGCCGAGCTCCCGAGCGAGACCTGGAACGGAATGCCGGCAAACGCCGCAGTCGTCGACGCATCGTTGACCTTCAGCCGTATCACCTCAATGTTCTCCACCTGCGCGACCTGCGGCAGCGAGTTCGAAAACTCGTACTTGCGGCAGAGCGTGGACACCGGCGTCGCCCGCGATCCGATCACCAAGCTCCACGATTGGGCCAGGTCGTCTAGCACACACCCTCCAACGCCCGACTCAGCTTCGGTCACCACAATCACAGGCAATGCTGCAGCAAGCTTGACCAGTTTGCGAAGTACAACATGGCTCGCAGGATCGACCTCGTTGTAGTGCTCGACCATGAGCACTGCCACAGACACCGACCGCCCGGCCCAAGTCATCGCCTGCAGAAAGTCGCACAGCGCTTTCGAGAGAACTGACGAGAGGCTGTCGTCCCCATCCGTGCTTCCCGACCGCCACAAACGAGAAGAGCTCGATGAGGCGCCTGACGATGGCGATGGCGATGGCACCTCACTCTCGGGGACAGTCCCTAGCCGCTCGCGCGACGTCTGCCACGTTCCGGACCGACGGCGCAGCGTCGAGCTAAACGTACTGCCTCCGCCTGGTGTGCGGTCGTCCTCCCAAATGTCGACCATGCCTGCAACCTCGGTTGCAAGAGGCGTCATAATTGCCGGTGACGTCGCCGCTGCCTCTGCCACACGTTCTTCGCCGAGCTGGCGCCACTCGGTCGGCCGCGTCAACGCCGCGCCAAGCGGCGAGTGCCGCGAGATCGACGTTGGGCCGCGGATGACGTCGGCAAGCAGCTCGACCGATGCGTCGGGCATGCTGCGGTGATCGCGTGCAAACTGGTGGAGCTTGGCAACAACGTACTGCGAGTCGTGCCCGAGCTGCGAAAGCCGCTCGCCGCCCAGCCACGAGCGAAGGAGCTGTTGGATGGTGAGTGGAAAGTTGGGGTGGAGAAGCAGATGCGACTCCATCTCGGCCGCATGAACCCGTGCCGACAGTACGGCCACATCGGCGTGCTCGCGCAGCAGCCGCCGCAGGTGCAGAAACGTCATCCGTGTTGCGTGCTCGCTGGCGAGTTTGGTCGATGTACATATTGTCATGACCACCAATCGCCGCTCCGCCGCCGAGCGCAGTGCAAGCTCCATGTGTGCGGTGGCAACCGTGGACTCGGCTCCTAGCCGTGCGTGCCAAACCGAGGTGTCGATGACGTGCGAACCAGGCACACCTGTTGCTAGCGCCGCTTCAAACAGCTCATCCGCCTCGTCGTACTCTTTGAGTGTCTCGACCAGATACGTGCCGTAGAGCCCCATCCGCTGCGGCGACGCGATCAACCGCTCCAAATGATACCGGTAAACGTCGGCGGCAACGTAGCCGAGCTCGAGTGGGCTCAGCATCCATGATACGTGGTACGAGACAAGCATCGATTTGAACGACGGTCGCATGCCTACAAAGCCGAGTCCAAATCCGACCGGGAGCGCGAGCAGAATCACTGCCGACGCCACCGTGCCCGCCTCTTCTGGTGCTGCATATGACGAGTACATCACCAAAGAGGCCAAGAAAAACGAAACTGCGCTAAAGAAGCCGACCCGCACCCGGTTCATCGCCATCCAGTGATACGGTTGGAGCGCAATCGCCATGACGGCAAGGAATGCCACGCTCGTAAGCATAAAGTAAAGCGAGGCCTGCTTTCCAAGAGGCGAAGATGATACTGCGTCAAAAACAATCATCGTCTTGACCACAAGTGCCACTAAATCAAGCCACGTATGCGCCCGCCGCGCATAGTCGCGCGACTCGGGATCGGCCGAGTACGTGTTTGCCACCATGAGCGTGGCAAAGAGCAAATGGACAACAAGCGCGGCAAAGGCGCCAAGCGCGTGAAGTGGGCCGACATCTTCAAGGCACTTGTCGTGCGTCATGGCTTGGCAGAGGAGCGGGTTAAGAAGCGCATGGATCGACGGCACGTACAGAATGGTCGACATGACTCTGCAGAGGTTCGAGACCGACGAGACCAGTGTCGCAGGAGGCGCAGGCGCCCCGGTGTACATGTAGCCAAACATGACACCGGATCCGAGTAGCACACACCCGTTGAGCGCCCCGTAGACGATGAGGAGCGAGTACGAGATCTCTTGCTGGTGGTCAACGAACATGTTGAGTGACAAGAGCGCGAGCGACGTCGATGCCGGAGATGGCAACCGTAGTCTGCTCACCAGTACCGCAAGCCCCACCAGCTGGATGAACTCGATGACAATGGCCAAAGCCGGAAAGAACCGGAATGCGGCCTGGAAAGCTGTGTTCGACTTGGAAGACGCGTCGACAAGCCCGATGACCATTCCGCGAATCCCGCGCTGAAAGCCACGGGTCCGCGTCGTCGGTCTCCGCCGCTTGTGCATCGTGTTAGGCACGTCTTCGGCATTGCGATCGCCGCGCAGCTTGAACAGCACCTCATCGTCGTTGTCAGTACATGTGATGCTGCTGGCCACCTGGCCAGACACCTCACGGTCAACCATGACTTCGAGAAATGTCGTCGACGGCTCGACGTTGAGCCCGCCGAGCGACCGGATCGATGAGTCCAGCTGCTCGTTCTGCTGCATGACCGCTTTCGCCGTCGCGAGTGTCGACGATTCCATGTACTCGGGCTTCTCGTTGCTGAGCAGGGACGACCGCGAGGCCGTCAGGCTGTCTTTCAAAGGTCTGCAACCATCCGGCGAGGCTGCTTCGGATGCCGGTACCACATCAGCTCCCCCTGGTCCAGCCGGGGAGTACTTGCGGACTCGCTTGTACGGGGGACAGATGGTTGCATCTGGTGAGTCGAGGGCCATCGACGTCGATGCCGATAAAGACGTTCCTGACGAGGACGACAAGGAGGAGGTGGAGAAAGAAGATGATGCCGCCACTCCCGCTACGAACGATGACGACGATGATGACACCAGCGACGACCCCGACGACGATGCTCCCCGCCGCGTCGAGCTAGTGACTTGCCTGCCTGCTGCCGGTGTCGTCGACGGGTGGAAGAGCGGTATAGGACAAGCGATTCCAGTCCCCAAAGCAGCGATGGGCATGCCCGGCGTGGCGTTGCTCATCGGAGTGTTGGCAAGGCCAGAGACGGTTTCTGGCGTGAGGGCGTCGCGTGGTGCTGACGAGGCTTCGGTGAGCTGGTTGGCGACCCTCTCCGCCGGCCGTGATTGGCTCAAAAATCGATCCGAGGAGGGAGCCACAGGAATCTCCACACGAGACGAGGGCGTGTTACCACCTCCTTGGTGGATGGACTCCCTTGCTCCGGTTGTCATGACGAGTGTTACGTGCCCAGAGTGTACAGCACGACAGAACGCTACCTTTGCTGTTGGTGCGGGCCCGGTCGTCGTCGAGCGTTTGTCACTCAACAACTGGTCGAGATCTGACCTTACCCACGGAACCAATTTAGCCACGTGGTCCGCATGCCACTTTCAGCCAATGTCACCGGCGCCATCCTATCTCTCGAGAATGTCTGCGATAATACAGTATATTCAGCCGTCACACTGCCGGGACATTGGCCATTTCCTGGCCTCCACACATCGTGCTCGCGCTGGCGCCAAAACAGCTCGACCGTCCCCGCCAGCCCCCTCTCCCCACACACACTTCCACACTCCACCACACTACGCACTACACACCACACTCGCTCACACACATCACATACTCCTGCTCCATAGCCATGGGCGCACCCGTAGCACCATCACGACAGGGGGAGGCAGAGCGGGCGACGGCGGCCATTGCCGAGGCCGAGTTTGAGGAGTTGCGCATGAAGCTGCTCGCGCTGGGCTACTCGGCTCCTCTCGGCATCGAGAGCGCGCGGCTCGCCAAAGCGCTGGTCGACGATCTGGTCGCCGCTACCGCCGCTCTACATCAGCTAGGACAAGAGGCCGCCAGTCGAGGCAACGACGCACACTCGGAGGTTATGTTCGGCAAGCTGGCGCGAGAGGCGCTGGTGGCGGAGAACTCGCGGATCTTGCGCGAGAACAACGACCTTCATCTCGCACTGGTCAGACTCAAGGACGAGGCTGCCGAGCGGGCGGTTCTCTCGGGTGCGACCCGTGACTCGGCCCGGGCGCTCACCGCCGCACACGCCCGTATCGAAGAGCTCGAGTTTGTTAACAAGGAGCTCCGGGCCCGCCTTGTCCGCCTCGAGGCTGCCCGCAATGACGCCATCCGCCAGCTCCAGCTCATTGCCGACGCCGACGCTGACGGCGTTCCGCGCTCGCCGCCATCGATCTCGCTCTCCGCGCCTGTGCCCGAGCCGCGGCTGGGCTCGAGCAAGCTTCCAACGCCCCGCGTGGAACAATCGATCTTGTGCGCGCGTCACAGGTGGCTGCTGCTGCTGCACACGCCCGCGCGGATCTGCTGGTACAAGAGCGCGATGAGGCGCATGCCCGCATTACCCAGCAGAATACCCAGCTTGCCGCCCTCCGTGGCGAGCTGGAGCGGCTCTCGGCCGAGCTGGACCAGCGCCTGGTTGCGGTTCAGTCTGGCGATGCCCCGCCTGCTCTCCAGCCACGAGCCACCCTTGAGCTTGTCTCGCTCCAACACCTCAATGCCACTAACGAGGCCGTCATCGAGCAGCTCGCGGGTCAGATTGCGCTCCTCGAGCGGCACATTTTCGGCCTCGAGCGGGAGAAGAAGCAGCGCGTCGCAGCCCGCAAGCGTGCCAAAGCCGCCGCCGCCGCCCGCGCACACTCGCGCGCTATTGTCCGTGCTCGCGCCTCGCCCACGCCGCAGGCAAAGACGAAGAAGACGAGGGCAAAGCCCAAGGCTGTATCCAAGGCCCGATCCAAGACAAAGCCCAAGTCCCGGCTGAGGACAAAGAAGAACAAGAAGAAGACCCGCAAGCCGAGTCGCACATCGACCAAGCCTGTGGTTAAGCAAGTTCTGGACGAGAACAAGGCTGTCCTCGACGAGCTCGCCGCCATGAAAGAGGCGCAATCGATGGTCCTCATGTCGTCCGAACCGCTTGAGCCACACGAGGCTGCCCGTGCTTACGCCGAAATGACCATGTCGCGGTCGATGGCTTGACGCCCCCGGTCGCCTCCGGATCACTGTTGTGCTCCCCACGCTAACACTCGATCGGCCGCTGGCAACCATCGCAGCCGACCTGCTGACGACCCCAGCAGACGACCACAGCCCGTTCCCCACCCACTCATGCTCGCCCTAACCACCCCACTCCACACACGCACACACAGCCCTCACCCACACCCCTCCCTTTCCCACACCCACACACCTCCACACCATGGTACGCTTGCCCTGCACCCACACCCCCCCCCTACCCTCCCCTCCCCCCTACCTCCCACTCACCACACACGCCCTCCTCTCCCCCCCCCCCCCTCCTTCCGCGCAGTTCGTGCTGCTTGTGGGCGACTTCCACATCCCGCACAGGGCCTTTGACATCCACCCGAAGTTCCGTGAGCTTCTGGTACGTACTCTGTGTCCCCTTTCCCTCCCCTGCCTGTGGTAGCAGAAGTGGTGCATGTCGGTACGAGGCACGCGTGTGACCCATAGTCGCCCCCGCCCTTCCCTCTCGCCGCCTGTCGCTGTTTTTTTGCCCCCTCCCCCCCGTCCCCCCCGTCCCCCCGCCACCACCACCACCACCACGCCCACGCCCACGCCCACACCCATGGTAGCTACAGTCGTGTACTTGCCCATACATTGCTACATTACCACGCTTATACGTGTGGGCGGTGGTCGTTGGTCGGTGGTCGGTGGTCGGTGGTCAGTGGTCGGTGGTCGCCGGTGGGGAGTGGCTGTGGTGCGGCTCGTCGGCTGGATATAGGCAGAGTAGCCACTGCCTTGCTTGGTCGTCGGCTGGTCCGACTCGGTCGTCATCTGGCTATCGACGCTCCTGGTCACCTGCTCGCCCGACACTGGCCCAAATCACTCACTTACACACTCCTCTTCTTCGCCCACGCCGCAGGTGCCCGGCAAGATCCAGCACGTCATCTCGACGGGCAACCTCACATCGCGCGACACATACGACTACCTCCGGCATCTGGCATCAGACGTGACGGTGGTCAAGGGCGAGTTTGACGACAACGCGTCGTTTCCGGACCACAAGGTCGTCACCGTCGGCAACTTTAACATCGGCGTTGTCCACGGTCACGCGGTCGTGCCTTGGGGGACCATGAGGCGCTTGCCGCCCTGCAGCGCAAGCTCGACGTCGACATCCTTGTCTCCGGCCACACCCACGAGCATGAGGCCTGGGAGTACGAGGGCGCCCTGTTCATCAACCCGGGCTCGGTCACCGGTGCGTACTCGCCCATCACCGACGAGGTCACCCCCTCGTTTGTCCTCATGAACCTCTCCGGCTCGACCGCCACCTGCTACATCTACCAGATCGTCGACGACAAGGTCAAGATCGACCGCGTCATCCACCGCAAGGACGGCGCCGCCGACGATGATGACGACGACGACGAGTACGACGAGTATGACGAGGACGATGACGACGCCGAGGACGATGACGACGACGACGACGACGACGACGATGACGACGACGCCGAGGAGGAGGACGCTGATGACGAGTAAAGCTCACTCTTGACCACTCGCTCTCGTCTGCCAGTCAGCCAGAAAACGACCTAGACTTGTCCACTCAGCCTCGACCACGTTGGCCCGGGCTCTCGGCCGGTCGTCCAGCCCGAAACGCGTCAGCTCGCCACCCACTCAACTTACGCCGCAGCACCCATGCTCCGCTCGCTCCATCTGTGTCGAATGGGCGCACTTGGCCGCGGCTTCCAATGGTCGCTTACTCGCTCATCCTCCGCCTCGTCATCTGACGACAAGCTACGCGCCTTCTACGAGGCCTTTGACCCGTCAGCCGAGGTCTCGCCGAGTACCGGCCATGCCGCCGCGCCGCACTCGCACTCGCACGCCACTGATCCGCCAGCGCTTTCGCCAGCTGTCTCGGACGTCATGGGCAAGGTTGTCGAGGCTTCGCTCGGCGATCCTCCTGCAGAGCTGTGTGATCTGGACATGTCCCTGGAAGCAATGTCGACCGGCGAGGCGGCCGAGCTCGGCGCTGCGCTGGTGGCGCATGTCACGCCGCCGCCGCCGGTCGACCCGCCGATGGCCCGGGTTGTGCTCACGCAGGCGGTTACGGTCCTTGAGCATGCTCTGGAGGACGCGAATGCATCGGATGATGCAGCGTATCTGGCCGGGCTTCTTCACGCTGGCGCCCATCCGGCCGTGGCGGCCAACGCTGGCGATGTGCCCGGCCTGCGGCCCGGCCGCGGTGCCGCCCTGCTCAAGTCGCTGGCCACGCGCGGGCACCCGTGGGCCCAGTTTGGCCTCGCTCAGCTGCTGCGCGAGGGCAAAGGCGTCAAGGTCAATCCGGCTGCTGCGCTCGCTCTGCTTGAGCTGGCGGCCAAGGCTGGCGTCGCTCCCGCGCTTCACAACCTCGCCACCATGCACGCTGCCGGCGAAGGCACACCGGCCGCACCTCAGAGAGCCAAGGAGTTGTGGGAAGAGGCGGTTGAGGCCGGCGACCCACTCGCAGCCTTTGCGCTCTCGCAGGCACTCGATGCCGAGACCGAGACCAACGACGGGATCCATCCGCGGACGCCTGCGCTTCTGCGCGCCGCCGCCGACGCCGGCCTCGCCCGCGCCGCACACAACCTCGGCACGCTGCACTTTATGGGCAAGGGCGGCGTGCCGCACTCGTTCAAAACTGCGTTCCAGCTGTTCGAGGCAGCAGCCTCGGGTGGCGTCGTCGGTGCCATGGTCAACGCCGGCCACATGCTCGCCGAGGGCAAAGGCGTCCCCCGAGACACCGCCGCCGCCCGCGCTTGGTACCTCCGCGCTGCGCCGAGCTCGGACATCGCCGCCGCCGCTCTTGCTGAGCTCGACGGCGCTACGCCGAGCTCGGTGCAGCAATGACCCGCCCGCGGAGGCCTTTGACCAGCGAGCCGAGCATGACGCCGATGGCCTTGCGGACGGCGTCGCCGCCGGCAATCCGCGACGGGTGCGGCCAGCGCGAGACGACTGCGTCGGTCAGCAGTCGCCGCGCGAGCTGGTACGCCACCGTCAGGTTGCCGATTCGGATCCGGAGCGTGGTTGCAGGCGTGACAAGTTGCGCCGGGAGCGCCGCACCGACGCCGAGCGAGAGAAGGTAGACGAGGCCGACGCCCGTCGCCACGCCGTCATCCGTCGTCATGGTGACTCGCGCCGGGCACCCGACAGACTTGAGGACGGCGTTGATCCAGGGCAGGGTGATACCCTCGAGCTTGCTCGCCGACGCCACTTGCTGCGAGCTGAGCGACGGCTCCCACCCAAACGGCTCATCGACTGTGACGGCGACAGCCGTGTCTGTGCTCGGCGCCGAGACCGAGAGCCGCCGCGCCTGCCCAGGCACCGCCCGCTGGACGTCAGCGACATACGACGAGCGCAGCGCACGCTTCTTTCCGCTGCCGCTGCTGCTGCCGCTGTTGCTAGACGCACGCCCGCTGCCTGACGCCCCTCCTGACGCTTGCGGCACTATTGCTCTGGCAAGGTACTCGGGCCCGCCGTCGGCGAGGTCGACGTTGTACCGGTCGGCAACCGCAGAGAGTGCGCGAAGAATCGGGCGAGTCGAGCAGCCGACAACGTCGTCGACCTGCCAGCCCTCAACGTCGATGCCGAGGAGGCTCATCCACTCGCGTGCGAGTGAGAGGTTTGTCCGGCACGCCGCAATCGAGTTGACGTCGATGGTGTGCTCGGGCGCCCGCTCGTGTGCATAGTCTGTCACCATCTCAAAGAAGAGCCATCCGCAGGCGGCAGCCTTCTCCATGTTGAACTGCCCAATCGGGGTATTTCCCGACGGGTGCCGCTTGGCGAGCACGGCCTGGCACCACTTGCGCGTCCGAGCTGCTTGCTCCTTCACCGAGAGCGGGACCTTGGACGCCAGCGCATTCATCCGCGCCACTTTGGACAGCGACGGCGACTTGGTCTTGGCACCGCCACCGCCCGATGCCGGCGCGGCGAGCAGCTCTTCCGAGACAAAGTGGTCGCCCGAGGCTGGGCGCGCCGACGCTGCCGCGGCGGCCTCGGCCTCGAGAGCCCGCTGAATGGCCTTTTGCTTGCGCTCGTCGTTGACGTCGGCAAACTGCGAGTGGAACGATGGCGGGCGGATCTTGGCGTCTTCGGGCGGCGGCGGCGCGAGAAGGTACTCGTAGAAGAGCGTGCCCTCGACATCGTCGCGGATCGAGTCCCACTGCGCCTGGCCGGTCTTGCCCTTGGCGACGAGGGCGCGGACCCACGCGCGCTGCTTGTCGGCCGACGACACGTTGGCCCACACTACGCCCTCGGCCTTAGTCCCGGTCACGTCCTTGGGTGCAAGAAAGATGCAGTTAGGCGCAGCTTCGGCAAAGTGCTTGATGCCGACGTTGTACTCGCGGGTGTCCAGCTGTGCCACTAGCTTGGCCGGGAGTCGCGGCGAAGTGTACACCGAGAGCGTGCCCGGCGTGAGCACAAAGTACCGCGAGACCATCTTGACCCGCGGCTTCCTTGACTGGATGTCGACGAGAACCGCCATGGTCATTGCCGACGAGATCACGGACTGGATGGCGTTGGGCGGGACAATGGCATCCGTCCATCCGCTGTCACCGCTCCCGCTCTCGTCGTCGCCGCCGCCGCCGCCGCCAACCTTGCTCGAACTGGGGCCCTCATCGTAGCCACCGACCATGACATCGCTCGTCGCGGGCAGATCGTCCACCACGCCGACGTAGGTGGCGCCCGCGGCGATGAGGGCTGAGAGCCACGCCTTGAGAACAGCGGGCTCGTGAGCGGCAAAGACGTGGGTGACACCGCACCCTCCGCCGAGCTGGATGTAAAAGGCATACGCCTGGCCAGCAAGCCCGCCGCGGATGACCCCAGTCGCCGTCTCGCACAATGGGCCGAGCGCAAAGAGCGCCAGTGCGTCAGTGAGGTCCGAGGAAAAGCCGCGGACTTCGCTTCCTTCCACCGCCACAAACCTCGTCGAGAAGAGCGAGCTGAGCGGTGACCGGTACTGCAGCCATGAGCCATGGGTCCGCATCATGGGTGTGCGAACAGGTGTCGAGTGTATGCCGTGGTCTCTCTCCCCCCGCCTCCTCACCCTGTTGCTACAGGTGCACGCGGATTTCGCACGAACTCCCTGCGCTGCGAGGAGGCCGAAAGCAGAAGTGCAGAGCGGCGCTCGCTTCTATATTTTCCTACGTGTCTGCCAGGTCTGTGCCGAGACTCTTCTCCAGCGGAAACCCTGCTCTGCCAGCTCCAGATCACCAACTGACTCTACTGGCGAGACCGTGCTCGCTACTGCAGCTGCGTCGGTGGACAGGCATGCGCAGCAATGGGCGATGGCGGTGCGTGGCAAGGCAAAGAGGCACAGAAGAGACGCCATATTCGAAACGAACATTCGACGAGTGCGGCCCATTATTCGGCACAGGCTATCAGAGCGGGCTTTTTCCAAAACCCAAGCAGCACACGCTTGCCCCACATACAACTTCACCATCCCTCTCTCTCTCTCTCTCCTCCTCCATCGCAGCTAGCTATGCCTCACCAGTTCTTCCTGCCATGTGGAAGAGCGAGAGAACACACATGGCGGGGGGTGACGAGTGTTTGGCGCCAAAAACGGGAGAGAAAATTGAAGTTAATGCCCGCAGCCACGTGCCACGTCAACAGCTGTCGAGTGTGTTGACAAAGCAACGATAAACTGTTGAGACAGTATTCGAGAGCTGTGGCAGTACGCTTCACTCCAACGAAACAAGTTCCGAACATGGCGACCATCTCCCGCACGGCGGTGGAGACGACGACGACGACGACGACTGTGTCGTCCTTCCGACTTCCTGAGCGACTTGCAAGCCTCACGGCTTCGTCGCCGCTCCTGACCAAGCTCAGCAGCTCTACGGCTACGCTGTATGCTTCTTCGCCTCTTGCCCAGTCGCTGACGTCCAAGGTGGTGGCTGCCGCCTCGCCGTATGTCCCGCAGCTGGCCAAGCTCGACGCCTTTGCGGTGGATTCGCTCGACTCGGTCTCGGCCAAGGTGACCAACATGTCCGAGACGGTCTCGGCCAAGGTGACCGATGTCTCTGCGAGTGTGTCGGCCAAGGTCGACGAGGTCAACACGACGACGGCTGCCATCCGCACCAAGGTGGCCGGCAAGACGACCCAGATCCGCTCGTCGGTGGCGACTGTCCTTGCCGATCCAGTCGAGGTGACTCTCGCCACGCTCGAGGCGCTGCTCGAGGTCGACCCTGAGGCTGCCGAGCTTCCGGTGGTCGATGGCGAGACGGAGCCGAAGGAAGCCGAGACGGAGGCTGCGGCTGCCAAGCCGGCTGCGCTCGCGCGGGCCAAGGTCATTGCTGCCAAGGCAAGTGTTCTGACTGCGGATGCGCTGACGGCGCAGACGAACGAGCTGAAGACCAAGATGGCGGCGTCGCTGGCGTCTGTGGCTGCGGCAACGGCGCCGCGGGCCCGCTCGGTCTTTGCTGCCATTCCGTACTCTGAGAACATTGCTGCTGCCGTAGCCTCGATCTACGGCTCGCTGGTGGTGCCTGCTTCTGCCAAGGTCGGTGTCGATGCCGACGCCATTGTTGCTACTCTTGTGAACTTGCTGAACGTGCCTGCCGACGCTACCGCCGGCGCCAACGCTGACGCTGACGATGGTCCCGGTGTGCCTGCCGCGTCACCCATCCACAACACCTCGCTTAACTCGACGCTCGACGTGACCCAGCATACACTCGACGCCGACGACGAGGCGCCGGCCGACGACGGCTGCGACGATGACGACGGCTCGGTCTCTTCTGACGGCGGCGCACTCGATCCGGACGACTCGGCCTTTTCAGAGCTCGAGCCCTCGCGCATCATCGAGACACTCTTCTGATTCTGAAGGCCTGGCCTACCCCCCTTTCCCCCCCAACAAACGCAGCTCATGTTCCTCCGGTCGATCATCGGCTGGAGGGGCATGGTGCGCGCTCACTACCAATCACCGTGTGGCCTTTATTCTGTGTGCGGCAGCGCGTAGCGGGGTGTCATCACATCGTCGGAGAGGACGACAAGCGAGCATAGACAGCATGCCGAGAAAAGCACAATACACATGAGAACGCGCCAGCCGATGCTCCAATCGGCCGGCGACTCGTCCTTGGGGGCGCCGGGATCGCGCTTGGGTGCGAGGACAAAGAACAGAATGAGCAGCGTGTACAGGACGAGCGTGGAGATCACCACCACGCTATCGACCGGCGGAATGACCATCAACCGACATCACCACCACCATCACCATCGCCAACCAGTTCCCAGTCATAACCACCATCAGCAACCCCCCGTCCACCGCCACCAACCCATTGGCGCCACCAAGCCACCCACAACCACCATACCAACCTCTCCACCGACATGAGTCCCACACACACACACACACACACGCACATACACACACACACACACACACACAACACCTTGGGAACATACGTCTTGTACTTTGTGTACCAGGCAAAGCAGCAGAGGAGGAGAGGAGGAGGAAGACGGCACCGATGAAGAGAGCAGCAAAGAGACCTGCGCCTATGCCTCCCACTCGCGGTGATCGGCAGCTGCTACTCCCGCCAGACACACCAATCCATACAACAGCATGACAATGCGTCTCTCCCGCTGCTGGCTACCTGAATTGGATCAGAGATGAGTCTGTGTCACCCTTGCTCCTCCTGCTCAAACCCTCTCTGGCCCCCCCCCCCCCCCCTTGCCGCCACTCGCCCGCCATCCTACGCTATCTCGACACGGCTCGCGCGCTCGCACACCGGCACCGCTCGCCTTCCAGCCGACGATCATGCACATCTTACGCGTTTACACTCTCGCCGCGCCGCACACTTCTATGAGCAATGAGATTGAGCGCGGGCGCCCAGCAGGGACTCAAGCGCCCGCGGCTGCGGCGTCGACGATCGCGACGGGGACTCGGCCTCGCCGCACTCGGAAGACACTTGCCATGAGTATGGCATTCAGCCATTGTGGACGGTGCTACTGCGCTCAGAATCGGCACGAGGCCGCGTGACGCGACTCGGCTTGGGCGGGCCTGCAGAGACTCCTCGGGTACGGGCCGGCTTGGCCGGCGCCGGTCCGCCGGGAATCGGCGATGCTGTCCGCGACACCGCTGGCGAGGCTGCTGGCGAGAGGCCTGGCAACGGCGAAAGCGACGGCGACGGCGCCCCGACGCGTGCCGGCACCGCACCTTCCGGTGAAATGCTCGGCGAGACGCTTGCACGCCTGGCCACGTTCGGCACCGACGCCTTGCGCTTGGGCTTGGGCGGCGGTAGGCCTGCACCGCCGAGTGACATCTTGCGGTTGCTCCGCGTCGCCGGCATTCTCCGCGCGCGGGGGGAGGTCGGTGCTGACTTGGAGCTCTCGTCAGGAGCCGCCCTGTTGTCGTCGCCATCATCGTCGGCCTCGGGAATCGAGACTGTCGCCGACCGCTGCTTAGTCCGCCCACGCTGCGGCGGCAGCGACGGCAGCGGCCGGTTCTGCGGGATCGAGACAGACGGCCGCCGCCGCCGCGTCCGCGATCCGCCGCGCGGCGAGACCAGCAGCACGTCCGGCTTGGGCCCGCTCTCACCTGCAGGCTCCCGCCCTACCGGCGAGTCAAACACGCCCCGCGCCCGCAGCCGCGCCGCCCGCGCCGCCCGCCGCGCAGCCTTCTCCTCGGCAAACGGCTTGCCAGCGTACGCCTCAAACTTACGCTCAAAGTCAGCCGAGGCGTGGACAATGCCGCCACTGCTCTCGTCCTTGAACACGTCCTTGGCCAGCGGCGGCGGCGCCATGCCCTCATAGCCGCACGCCACGAGCATGTTCCGCACATCTCGCTCGCCGTCCAAAAACTCCGCCAGTACTCCGAGCTGCTGTCGCGACCGGTCGTGCGGACACGGTTGCGGATACTGAGCTTCGATCAGCGCGTCCACCGTTCTCTTGGTCTCTGCCGCACGCACCGTCGCCGCCGCCCCGAGCTCGTCGAGCCGTGCCATCCGCCGCCGCCCCACAACCTCGTCCAAAAACGCGTTGTACCCCGCCAGCGCCGCGTCGTACGACGCCTCGGCCTCCTCGGCCCGTCGCTGCGCCTTGTCGGCCTTGCGCTCCAGCGCCGCATACTTGTCCGCCGTCACCTGTGGATCGCCCGTCGCTGCCTCCACCGCCCGCCGCGCCTCGGCTGCCGCCTCGCATCGCTCATGGTAGCTCTTGCGCGTGCTCTCGGCGTCGGCCTCGCGGCTCTCGAGCTCCGCAACATCCTTCCGCACCGCACGCTGCAACTCGCTCACGGCCCTCGACTGCGACTTGACTAGTGTGCTCAAATCCTCCGCCCGCTCCGACAGCACCTGCGCTGCGTCGGCATGGAACGCCGCCCAAAACCCGGTCTGCGCGTTGAGGACCCGGAAGACCGCCCGCTGCGTCGCCGGCCCGCTGTACGCAGCCTGCTCGTCGGCCAGCATCTCGTCCATTGCCACCATCTGCAGCATCGCCTCGCTCATCTCGCTCGCCGTCTCCATCGGCGTCAGCTTGGACAGCTTGGTCTTGCCATACTTGGACATGGCCTTGCCAGCATCCTCGTGCACATCCGCCATTTTGCTCAGATATCCCACCAGCTCCCGCAGCCGCAGTATCCCATTCTCGCTCTTGGTCATCGCCGTCTCCAGGCCTTCCGTGAGGCCATGCCACGAGCTACGATTCATATTGTCGCTTTGCCGTCACACCCAATCCGTCGTCGCACCCGTGCTGACTGACTACCCACAACGCTCGGCTTGCCTCTCCTTGTTCCACGACCTCTCGGCGAGCGCAAGTGACTCAAAAGGCTAACCCGCGACGAGGGGGACCAAGACCACGCGCTGCTGCTTCTGCTTGTGCTCTTCTTGCCCGCCTTGTCCGACCTCGTTCACCTGAACGCCTGTCGTCGTCCAAGCCAAGTGTGACTCTACTTCCCCCTTTGAGCTCGGCCAACCGCAACCACCACCACCTCGCTGTCTGCCTCGGCCTCGGTCTGTCTCGGCCTCGAGCGGCGGCGGTGGTGGTGGAGCGCCGCAGCGAATATTTTTCGCCCTATCCTTCCTTTCTGCCCATGACGCTCACGTGATGCCACGTGTTCGACACGGCCGGCGCTTGGTGCTGATATCATTTTTTTGTGTCCACCACCCCCACCCCCCACCCCCCCTCACCCACCCCCCTCCACCCTCCGCACCCCCCACCCACCACCACCACTACCACCACACACACACACATATATATGCACTATCGATCAACAACAACGCCACCCCACCCCATCCCCATCCCCATCGCCTACCCCATCACCGAAATCCTGCTCAACATAGCATCGCTCCGCGAGTCGGCCCGACTCGCCGCCGCACGCACCTAGTCACGCGCAGCACTACGAGGTACCAAGGTATACACACGCCTCTTGGCACGCCCACTCGTCGAAGTCACGCTTCTGGGCTGGACCTTGGCTTGTTTCGGCAGAACTCGAAATGAGTGACAGCAGCGAGGGCGTAAACGTGGGGGCATGGGGCGAGCCGACTTCGTCCATCGACTGGTGCGAGGACAACTACGCCGTCTCGTACTACGTTGCCGAGTGGTGGAACACTCTCTCCAACATACCCATCGTCATTCTCTGCATCCTTGCTTGGCACAAGGCCCACCATCGCTCCACCTTTCTCCCGCCGCACCTCCGATCGGCCTACCTCTGGCTCCTGCTCGTCTTTTGCGGCTCGACCGTCTTCCACGCCACCCTCTCGTACGCCGGCCAACTCCTCGACGAGCTTCCCATGATCGCTGGCGTCTGCGCCTACCACGTGGCGCTCTCATCGCGCGACAGCGTGGGCGCCTTTGCCGGACGGACATCGACCCGTATCGCCACCGCAACCACGCTCGCCATCGGCCTCCTCATGTACCTGCTCCGCGACTCGCCGCTTCCGCTCCAGCTCTCGTACGGGTCCCTTACCGTTGCTCTCGTTGTCCGCTCAGTCATGCTTTATCGATCCGTCGAAGTCCCGGCCCGCCGCTCTCTCTTTCTCGCCATGCTTGTCTACGGCTCCGCGTTCCTCCTCTGGATCACCGAGTGCGCCATCTGCGGCCTTGTCAAGCCCTTTGCCTTTCATGCGTGGTGGCACCTGCTCTCGGGCACCGGCACTCTCATCTGGATCCAATTCCTTGCCGCATACGTCCTCGGCTCGTCCCGCACCGTAGCCCTCGTCCATCACCCGCGCGGCCTCGCACACATCCTCCCCTTTATCGCCATCGACAAGACTGTCCCAAGTACAGAGTCTCACACCCCGCACCCGAGTCTATCGGCCGTGCGGCAATAAGATCCACTTTATGTCTGACGCGTCACGTCAACACAACCATCACCACCACCACCACCACCCCCCGCTCCGAGTCCTGCTCATAGGCGAGCGTGGAAGATCAGACGTCAAAAATCGAGAGATCGTTTCATTTTTCACACCCAACTCGACTACCGGTGTGAAGAAGCCCGCCATGAACTCCCACGCCCTCGATCACGCCCACCATACTGGCGTGCTGACTGCGCGCGCCCACGTCCCGACTGCGGCGGCGTATGATATCCGCGCCGGGCTGACGAAGCCACCGCGCGCTCGAGGAGCGGGCCGAGCTCGTCAAGAGGTAGCGGCGGCGCGCCGATGCAGGTAAAGTACTCGTTCCACGAGCTGATGGCGGCAATCCGCTTGGACGCCGCACTGAGCGCAGCAGCTGCCTCTGTGGCGGCCGCTCCGCTCCGGGCGTTGTACTGATGCAGCGCGGTAGCGAGCGGATCGGCCGAGTCCTCGCTTAACGACCCGCTCTCGTCGCCCACTCGGGCGCTCGCCGGATGCAGGAGGTGCAGAAAGTAGACTTGGAAGGCGATGAGCCGAATCCCAGTCTCGGCGGCGTTAAACGTGAGCTGTGCACGCTGCTTCCATCCAAGCCGATCCTCACCGGCGATGCAGTGGAGCTGAGCGTACGTGCGGGTTGCCCAGAGGACCTGCCTGTCCAGCGACTCGAGGAGGACCAGCTTCCAGATCCGGACTCGCCACTTGTGCTTTCGCGAGAGGAGGAGCTTGACGATAAACTCACCGAGCGAGCGGGTGTAGCGCTTGTGCCGGTACTGCGGTGCGGTGACAAAGTCCTCGATCTCGGCCTCGATCGCATCTACAAGCTCTGGATGCCGCGCCACCAGCGCAAGCATGAGATGATGGGCCCAGCAAAAGCCGCGCAGCGCCTTGTCCGACACCCCGCGCGGAACCGCATCGTCGTTGGTCTTGCTAGTTGCGTTTGTCATGAGCCCCACAATGAGCGACGCCGCAAAGGTGATGAGTGACCGGAGCGCCGCTGCTGGCACCCGATCGTCGCGCTCGCCGGTCAGCTCGCTCATTTCCGAGAGGAGGACCGGGTACGCGTCGTCGAACCGCAGCGCGTCGATGGCCAGCGGAAGAAAGTACTGAAAGTGACCACCCCACGCGCTTGTCCGCAGCCCATCCTCGGAGAACGCGGTCCACGAGATGACGTCCAGCGTCGAGGTGATCTCGCGGATGGCGCCCGAGCGATGCCGCGCCACCGCGAGCGGAATACCCATAACGTCCTCTGCCACTGTGAGCTTGGTGTGGAAGCAGACAAGATCGCTCCGCGCCAGCAGGCCAAAGTCGTTGATGAACGCACTCGTCCGCCGCGAGCACACTGCAAGCCGGACAAGCGATGCCCGGTCGACCTTGCAAAGGATGGCCACAATAAGCTCGGCTGGAAGCGCAAACAGATCAAACCTGTCCGCCACGTCACCGCACACGCCGCTATCAGTGGCAGGATGTGCGGCACTGGCTCCAGGCTCGGAACCGCAGAGCGGAGGCCACGGCGCACTTCCGCTGTGCCCGCACGAGCACACCGCACTCGCCGCCGATGTCAGTGTCTTGGCCAACTGCTCCGGCCGGACGTAGTCGTTAAAGTCAACAACCGTTCCGTCGTCCTGCGGAATGCGCTCCGCAAGGAGAAACGACTGTAGCTGCCGAACAAGCGCCGCGATCGAGTACGCTGACGACCAGCCGGCAAACGGCGCCGACGATGAGTAGTGTTTGAGCATGTCGAGGCAGACGTAGTAGCCCGGCCGGCCGCGGTTGCGAAACACGTTTGGGTGCCACACCAGCGACGCGAGGTTGATCGCCGGCGGTCGCGACGGATAATCGACAGGAAAGTCGAGCACGAGATGGATGACCGCGCCGGCGTACGGGCCCGAGTCGGTGGTGATGTTGGCGTGCCACTCGAGCATGTTCTGTTCAGATGGCGCAATGCTCGCGCCCTCAAACTCTTCACCAGCAATTTCCTTCCACTCGCGCATCAGCCGCCGCACAGCTGACGTGGCCGACGGGTGCGCATGCGTGGGACGATGAAACATGGCTGTAAAGCGTGCGCAAAGATGGATGGAAGCAAGACAAATGGTACTTGCTCTCGCCTTCTTTCCATCGCCCCACACGTTTTTAATGGCAGTTTTTCTGCTGAGGTCACCGCCGATGCGAGCTCTTCGAACGAGGCCATTCTGGGACACAGCCGAGCTCGTCACCGACACACAACCTCAGTGCACATCAGCTGCGACTTGGCCCTCCATTCACCACCTCGAGATCAAGGACCAGGCCGAGGTGATCCGAGGCGGTCAAGCCCAGCTCGGCTGCCGCCCCGACGAGTTCGAGGGAGACGACGGCACCGGCATGCTCTGGCGAGACGAAGATGCGATCGATGCGACGAGGCGGCTCGGGCGGATGGATGGTAGAGGAGAACGTGGCGCCGGCCGCGTCGTAGGTATCGACCAGCGGTGCGAGTGCGCTACACAATGCCGCGTTCTCCTCCGACCTGGCCATCACGTTGGTGTCGCCGGCAAAGACATGGATCGCAGCGCAAGACCCTTCGTCGGCAAGGTACGCCGCGATTGCCGCCGCCTGCGCTGCGCGATACTCGGGTGAGTTCTTGGACTCGAGATGTGCGGTGACAACGAATGCCGCTGGCGCTACCGTCTTGACTGCCAGCGCGCGCCGGCCCATGTTGGACGGGAGTGGAATGAACTCGAGGCTCTGCAACCCGACCTCGGCTTTGACAAGCATCACCACCCCGTACGGCACTATCGACGAGCCGCGACCATCCGTCACCACATACTGCTCGCGCACAAAGTCCTGCTCAAGCAGAAGATCCAAGAACGGCTGGGTCACCTCTTGCAAGCATATCAAATCTGCGTCGAGACACTCCAGCTCGCCCATCGCCACCTCGGCGCGCGCCAGCTGATCACGCTCGGCAAACCAGACGTTGTACGTGACAATGCGGAGAAGGCGACGACATGCACCAGCCTCATCAAGGCAGCCATCGTCGTCGCGTTCCTGCTGCTGTTCCACCCATCGCTCGCTGTGACCATGCCACGAAAAGCCAAACCGGAGCGAGAGGCTCGCCAGCGAGGTTGAGCCGACCCGCGTCGTAGTCACCACGCCTTCGGCATCCCGCTCCTCCACAAGCACCTCGCCGGCACGGGTTGTCACCCGTGTGGTTGTCGAGCGCAGCGCGTGCGGACGAGCTAGCTGAGCGAGGAGAGATTCTACGTCCATCAATTGTGCGTGGAACGGGGCTTCTTCCGGCTACAACCGAGCGCGCGAGACAGGTGACGAGTTCATTGACGTGTGAGTCCATGGCCAGGCGAACCGACTCGGCGTTCAACCCGCTAGTCAAAAGCGTTGACACCCTGGTGCGACTTGGCCTCGCGGTAGAGAGTGAAGAGGACGTGGAGCGACTCGACGACTGAATCGTGGACGGGGATGTCGAGAATGGCGCAGACAATGCGTGCGTAGGTGGCGAGATCGACGTCGAGTTCGGCAGTAGGGAGGGCACCGGCCTTGCTCAGCGCCTCCTCAAACTCAACCGGCCACTCCTGCATGAGAGCTTCGATGTCCGGCATCGGGCGCGAGTACGAGACAGACGGCAGCGGCTTGCGCGAGTGCATCTCCGAAATGTTCTCGATCCATGACGCGATGGCCTTGGGCTCCGCCACGGGGTCGACTGCCTTCACGGCCATCGGCGTCAAGTTAGACTTGCGCGAGTTGGCCCGCAGCTGTAGCGTCAGCACAGTCGGATCCGACTGCTTGGTGCATGGCTCGTCGACAACCGCCAGCGCCAGGCCGTCGTCCTTGCCGTCTGGCCGCGGCACCTTGAGGAAGCCGTCAATGTCGCCAATAGACGGAATGTACTCGGGAATAAACGGCTTGAGGCTCGTCTCGATGTCAAAGCTCGTCGGCATGTACCGCTCGATGTAGCCAAACAGGTCGCGGATCTCCGCCGATACCTGCAGGTCGTCGTACTGGCTGGCGTCGTACTTGGCTGGGCCATCGACCCGATGTGCGCCCGATGCCGCCTCGTCGAGATTCCCAGCCGTGCCGGCCAGCCCGCGGGTCATTCCCAGCGCCCCGCCGGCCCCACCCTCGGTCCGCCCGCCCATGTGCGGTCCGAGGACCGATCCTGTCACAATGCCTGTCGCGCCATGACCTTCTTCCCTCTCATACCCAGCGCCAACATTGCCAGTATCCCCTCCGCCATACCCCGCCCCCTCCGACGACGACTCGAGTGAGAGCGCCTCATCGTAGTGCTGGTTCTCCACCACCTGTGACCGCATGTGGTGGTCCGACATGATGGGTCTCTACACCCGTGCACCCGTGCACCCATACACCCATGCACCCATGCACCCACACACCCGTACAACCCGTACAACCCGTACAACCAATCTTGTGAGCCCCTTGCCTTTCCCAATGCATGTGCCCATCCCTCTGCCCAGGGAGAGCCTGCCCACACAACAGAGAGGCTACCGCCTCCACTGCCCGCCTTCCCTGCGCGCCCTTTCGGCACACCCCGACGCCCACCCACCATGCACCCACCAAGCGCCCACCAAGCACCCACCCACCAAGCACCCACCCACCAAGCACCGCCCAAGCACCCATCAAGCACCCACCAAGCACCCAACAGTGCCACCGAAACAATCA